CAAAATGAAAATAACTTCAAAGAAGAGAGAAGGGGTAAAATATCAGATGGAGGTAACAACACGAACCATAAGAAAGAAAAGTGTGCAGGAAAAAAATCGGGGTTTCTCTGAGGCAGGCAGGGAATGTGGATAAAGCAGACAGGCCCTGCCTGAGTTTTCTGATCCAAAGGGGAATATTCCAGGGAGAATAACTGCTAGAATATTCCAGGGTGCCTCTGTGTGTGTAAGAATGTAGCAGTTAAAGGAGATCTGAGAATGCACGTTGAATAGAATTTTAACCAGCCATTTTCTTCATGAACCACTCCAAAAGAGGGGGATTTCAGTGAGGCCTTAGAAATGAGGTGTGTTTAGAGGTCTGAGGCTCAGAGAGAACGGGGGTGGGAGACGGTTGCATCCCCAGTGAGGATGGGGCTGGCAGTGAGCTGGAGGGCAGAAGTCCACTGCGCAGAATAGAGGAGAACTACGCCTGAGGGCAGGGGGCAAGATGGGGAAAAGCCTTAAAAGCGGCCCAAAGGGGCTTTCACCAAAGGAAATGGTGACCTTCAGCAGCTTCCTAACACAGAAGCCACACTCCAGAGATCTGGTTTGATCCTCACCCCTGAGATCGGCCATCACATCTAAGCAACAGCCAGTTTAAAAATACATATATATCTCACACTTAAGACAGGCAAGTCATAGCTATTTCATGGAAATGTGACTACAGCAATGAATTTGACTCTTTGAAAATACGAAACATCCAGCAAATGAATCATTCAGGACACTAATGAGCGCCTCCGATGCTCCCTGTGAGACAGACAACGTTAAACAAAGGCTAATTTAGATATGTACCCCAATGCGTGGCATCAAGCAAATAACATATTTGGAAGTAACATATTTAGGGAAAACAGGACGGATAATTAAAGAGAGGACAGAAGAGTCGAAATGTGGTGGCAACACAGGAGGAAAGAAGTTGAGGCACAGAGAGAAGAACAACACACTTGGTAAAAAGTTCTATCATCTCTTTCTCTCTGCAAAGCACTATAAATATTAACAAGGCAGTGGTCATGAAGGAAAACCATAAAGAAATGAACTGTAATAACATGGAAATAAGCCAAATGTAAGTATATTATCTTCATCTGCAATGAGGAACATTAGGCTCCCGGCAATAAACTTTTGAAGAGTATTTGTGTAAATCTGGTGACAGCAACCAAGTTTGTCTCCCAAAGACACAGAAGGGACTCCTCTGCTCTGTTGCCTAGAAACAAGAAAATACCTTTGGCCATCAGTTATGTTTATATTTATTTATTTACTTATTATCCAGCTGAATTTAACATTTGCGGTCCTTAGTTATGCATGTGCAAACTATCGAGAGCGAAGGGAAAGCAGGAGACAGTCAATTCCTGAAAGTGCCTCAAACTTCTCTCTAAAAAGCAAGCAGGAGGGACAGAAACACAGCAACATAATTCTGAAACTTTACTCTTCCTCTACTGTAGAAGTTTTCTTCCGCCCACCCTAGCATCGGTTTGTTTGTTAAATGAACGCCACTGTACTCTTAAAAATAGCCTGAGCTAAAACGTATTTGGGTCTAGAAAGTCCAGATTGTAAAAGTAAATTGCTTTAATAAGCTCCTTTTTAAAAATAAAACAAAAAGAGCGTTAAACACATGTCAACGTAGTGAGCATCAGGCTTCTGCAAAGATTGCAAAAGATACATCTTGTTTCTTAAAGAGGAAAAAATTTTATAAGAGAAACAGCTGGCGGTGTGGAGGTGGAGCTGATTTATCATGGTTAGGAACCTGGCCGTCCTTCCCCAGGAAGAGCTCGGGACAGGACTGCTGGCTACCTTTGAAGAGAATAACACCAAAAGATCGTGATCTCCTTACAAAGCCACATAAAAGACCCAGAAAGCCCTAACTAGAAAATTTAGAAAGATATCAAATTTTCAAAATGAAAAAAAAAATGGTTTATCAAAATAAAGGATGTTACTCAAAATCATTGCCTTCTCCTCATAATCTAAAGTATAATTTGGGGAAAAGAATTCCTTAACATAGTTATTAATATATCAAAGTTTTAAAGATTATTCCCCCAAGGAATAATACATTTCATCTAAGATAATTTTTGCCACAAAATTTTTGGTTAGCAAAATGAGCTCAAAATATGTACGAGTTCAAGAGATTTCTTCTATCCCAAAAGAATAAATTTACATTAATACTGGAAAATCCATCTCAATTAATCCCCATCCTCAATCCCAATGTCAGTCTAAGGTCATAGTTATGTTACAACCAAAAGTAGTATAAAATGTGAACTTATACAGACGCTCCTCAACTTACAATGAGGTCACATCCCAATAAACCTAGTGTAAACTGAAAATACTGTAAGTCAAAAATGCATGTAATAGACTTGACCTACTGAACCTCACAGCTTAGCCTCGCCTAATTTAAACGTGCTCAAAACACTTACATTGACCAGCAGATGGGCAAAATTATCTAACACAAAGCCTATTTTATAATAAACTGTTGAATATCTTATACAACTTATTGAATACTGTACTGAAAGTAAAAAACAGAATAGTTGTACGGGTGCTTGAAATACAGCTTCTATTGAATGTTAACAGCTTTCAAACCATTGTAAAGTCAAAAAGTCATTAAGTGGAACCAGCGTAGGTCAGAGACTGTCTGTATCTCAAATAAGTATCTTCTGGTAACGTTAAGAACATTTTAAAGAGTAGTGATACTTTATATGTTTTCTTGAAATATTGGCTCCATGTCATACTAAACAGAAAAACTTAAATTCAATATAAAATAAAACTATCAAAATATAGAAACTACATCCTTTTAGATAAATCTTTACAGCAGATATCATAGCAAATAACAATTACTTGAAATGCATTGGGGAGTGAAAGTTAGCTTTGATTCTTGACAAGACTTTATCGCACAATTTCTGATTATCTGTCATTCATCCTGGTAGTCAAACACCAGTCTGAAGTTAAATGCACTCCTCTCTTTGACAAGCCATATTCATTCCCCAGACAAACTTCTCTTTACCTTCTTTTCACCCAGTAAAATTCCTGCTCCCCCAGCTGGACTTCCAAAGATTAAAAAAAGACCTTCTCATCAGAACAGGGTCAGTCAAACATAAAATACAATATAAATTATAGAGACCTGAGCACTTTCTTATATCCCTTTATCTTCATTATGATATTTGCATCATATTTTAGAGGGTGAGTCTAAATGCATATTTTCCATTTAGCAAAATATTTAGTATTCTCCAGAAAAAAAAAAATAGAGAAAATGCCCAAGGATAATCCTTAACATTTGTCAATTACCCTTGTATATTCGTTATCTAATTTAACCTGACCAACAACCCTGAGAGACAGGTGCTGTTAGGAAGATGCCTACCCCATCCTCCAGGTGAGGATGGTTGCAATATATAGTCAGACAGGAGAAGGAATTAACAGCAGGATACAAGAAGCTGCTTGGGTGCATTGGACTGGGATGTGTAGATTCTAAACTTGAGCTCAAGCCTTTGAATTGAGATGCAAGATGGAACATTATGTCAGCACACGAAGGGACCAGAGTTCCAAGTTCCAACCCCAAAGGTACTATAAGCTGGATGAGAAACAAAGACAACTGAAAGGACACAGAATGCTAAACTAGGGGAAAGGTGGTCCTCTGGGAACTGCCCAAGTGTCCAAGCAAGAGGCAGTGGGTGGGGGAGGGAATACTGAGGGTCTGTCTTTCTGGCAGCCATTTCTATACCAAGGCAGAGAAATTAGAAAACAACGAATTGGCCTGTAATCCCAGCACTTTGGGAGGCCAAGGTGGGC